GTAGTTAGGGCGAGATGAGAAAATAATTTGTTTATATAAATTAGGCGAGGCGTGGGCACACGATAGTCTGTCGCGTGCTCGGCCTACGCAGCGCTCGCGCAGCTATTTTTCTTCAGCTGTTGAAATGAAACAAAAGGTTTGCTTTTATCGTGTGCCCGTTGTGAATACTAGTTTCTGGCGCTGGCGCCGTCTACGACACAGATAACCGGCGTAAACTGAGAGTTGGGGTTACCTACCAGACAAAACTGGCCAAGACACGTTACCTTCATTATATTTTTGTTTATCATCTTATTCTCAATTTTGCATCTTTATTTCTTATGTTTTCACGCACATCGTTCATTCAATAAATCTATTTTTCAACGTTTTTTAAATGTGTTTTCCAATATTTTTATACATATCTCTACGTTTCTAAACCCGTTGAAAAGTAGTTTTATTTAATTTTGCATTTATTTAGATGTTCAATTGTTTTTATTCAATGAGTTAATGTATTTAGATGCAAAATTGATAATTAGATAAGTAGTTAGGTTATGCAAAAATATATAATCAAGTAAGTATAACACTACATATGCCTTAGCGTCAGTCTATTTAGACACTTTATATTCTTCGAGTATTGTTGTTTAGTTTTTGGTTGAGTGAATAAATCCTGATCTTTTTATATGTTAAAAAGAAACAAATCAAAAGCATAGACTCGAACACAGCCGACTCGGCTAGGAGGGGAGTAGCCATAATGACATAATACTACTGAAATCATTTACCGTTTTTTGCGGGGGGAGGAATATGAACACAAATGCAGTCCAAAATACTTTCGCAAAAACGAACTTGTAAACGCTAGATCGGGCATGAAACATGAAAAAAAGATGAAACACAAGATTTTTTATTGACAGATCTGAAATTTGTATTGGCTAGTTGATTGTTTTGTCGAACAAGTCCGACGATGGAATTTTTACAAAATTATATGAATTTTGTGTTTAAAAAATTTTTTGAGGGTTTTTTTGAGTTTTTCAAAAAACGCCTACGAGTTGAACATGCCCATCGCCAAGGTGGCTTACTGACGTCATTTGGCAACAGAAAAATCAAGACTTAGCCTTTAGGTTTTTTTCACCACTCAACCTACAGATTGACTGTACTAATATGTTTTACAGCAAATCACATAACATTTTGGCATTTCAGCGTGATTTGTGTCTCAGTCTAGTGAAATATCCGAGCGCAACTTAGTTTTGTTTTGAAGTTGGCCCAACAGCGGGGGAAATTCGACAGAGAAGAATGCCGCGAATAACGACTCAAATCTTGGCCGCATCGGCCGCGTTGCTATATGATCAGAAGTCACCAAAACCAGCTTTTCATACAATTACTTTTTGAAGACTTTTGTCGTCCTATCATAGTGCAGTTAAGTGGAGAGATACACTAAACAAAAATATGCAAAAAATTTAAAGTTATCCGTAGAATTCAATAAACCAAAATACAAACAACTGACAACTCAATTTGGCCCAAGGTTGGGCAAAAACGGTTTTTTCCATTGTACTCTGTTATGGTTAGTGTTATGTTCTGTTATGGTTAGTATTAGTCAATGGGAAGATTAATGGTTTAAGTCTACCATTAGGTCTTTTTGCACACAAGATTGTCATAAGTCTATAGACACGAAATTTTATACTAATTTTCAGCATATATTTTACTAAAATATCAATATTAATTTCTATACCTATCGTAAATCAGATTTAGTACGGAACCCTTCATTCCGAAAGTCAGGTGTACATGCAGTTGGCCGGATTTTTTATAGAAAGCCTGGTGCAAACTTTCACAGGACGTTGGTGCAACAGAGAACTATTAATTTTAAACTTCACTGCACAGAAAATCTCGGATGGAGGACTTACACCATTCCAACCAGCTATTTTCTACCAGTCAACCAAAGATTGTAACACAGAGCCTTAAGGGCGATGCAAAAAAAACATTTAAAAGAAATGCGATATTTGAAGTGAAACTTCTTTAGGCACGCTTGGTGGGTGATAACGGACCCAGTGCGGATTGGTGGGTGATAACGTTCCCAGCACGGATTGGTGGGTGATAATGGACCCAGTGCGGATTGGTGGGTGATAACGGACCTAGCGCAGATTGAATGGTGTATTGGTGTTTTTTTTTCTATCAACAAATCTTCAGTTTCTTTTTATGATTTTCAAAGAGCTAAAGAAGTTTCACTTCAGTCGTGTGGTCATAAGCAGACTCGCTTTTTTTGGAAAGTTTTGCAAAATGTGTCATATGGTCCCCGTTTTTGGTCTAGTTCGATTTATCGCCTTTCTAAATCGATGTTTACCTAGGGAGCACGCACGTTTCTAAAAAAAGAACTGAGAATGTGAGATTAGTTGTTACTTTAACATTCTCTCAGACGCTAAAACTAGTTTACGCAATATCGGAAGCAAATATTGTAGAGGCTTGAGATTGTAGGTTAATTCATACGGAAATTCTCTGAAACTAGTAGGTAGGTACTAAAGGTAATGAACAATTAGAAATCTCTTAAATAAAAACCTGTACTTTCTAGTGGGTTGAATTATAATTGTAATTTTGCGTAAGTAAGTACAGAACTTTACTGTAAAGCTTCAAGAAAGATGAGGCACATCGAGTTTTGCGCAATTGGAATACCTACCAGTCTGGGGGAGTAGAGAGTAGACATTATGGTCTGTGTTTGCGATCCTGTAGTGAATAAGTAGAGCTCAATAGCTCAAAGACATTGGGTTCAAGCTAGCAAAATAAAGGTTAAGTAGGTAAAAAAACAGTAGATAATATATACCTAGATGCAACTATACTCTTTGGGAGATACCTTCTAGCCAGAGGCGGCTTTACCTACGGAGCAGGGTGTGCGGGTTGCACACGGGCACAACGGTCTCAGGTAGTAGTATCAACTTTTTTTCTATCAAATATAGTATTTTCGAAGCGGTTACCTCTAAAAATATAGTACAGTGCAAAATCTGGAAAAAAATATTGTATGTGGTAAAAATATTGACTTTATTTTGGAAATTTAATCTATTTTTGCTGCTCTGAGCCTTATTAATATAATTTTTAAGAAAGCTCTTACTGGCAAATATCTGATTGAAGCAAAATATAGTAGTTTCGAATACTATATATTTTTTTAGAAATATAGTATTTGATACCCTAATATAGTAGGATACTTTAATATATAGTGGGTTGGCAACCTTAGTCTCAGGGGGCGCCTCGCGTCACTCGCCACCATTCCCTTTTAGCCGCGCGCTTCCTAGAGGGCGCTAGGTTAATGATTGCACACGAGCGATACAAGGGCAAGAGACGCCTCCGCTACTAGCTATTGAACATCACGATGTTAAACCTCTTTTTATATATTCAAGCATGTTCAAATTCTTTTTTTTGTAAAAAGTAGCTATCATAGCCTATAGTTTATACGCTTGCAATGCTAGAGTATCACTCGCACGTTTCCTACCCTGACCCCATCCCTCATCATCATCATTATCATCAGCCTATTAATGAACCCACTTCTGGAGCACAAGCCTTCCCTATGGATGTCCTATTCCATACAGAAAATTGGGCCATGACCCACGGAACGGAAGGGCGGGTCCAGTGCGGATTGGCGGGTGCTAACGACCGCAGATGCAGCCTGGACCAACGGCTTAACGTGCCTTCCGAAGCACGGAGGAACTCGAAATAGAAGGTTTTTGGTCACCCATCCAATGACCGACCACTGCGAAAGTTGCTTAACTTCAACGATCGCAGCCGTACGCGCTAACCACCCGCGCCATCGTGCTCCTCTATCCCGTCCCTAACCCAATTCACAATATAACCGAATTCCTAATTAGCTGTGATCTTATTACCACAAACGGGCCTCTATTTCGATCAAGAATCCATTATGCCCTAACTCTCTCTTTTAAAATGTAGCTCTACTTAGGTACTTAACATCAGTTGGGGTTGGTGGAGAAAGTGGTTAGAAAGGAGCGCATAAAAATGTTTCAACGTTACGTTTCGTTATATTAAGTTGAAATATTTAAATTTTCCCGTGTGGATAAATAATACTTAGTAAGATAAAATTGTATATAATTTCGACGGTGAAAAGGAAAAGCAATTAAAATGCCACTTTGATCAAAAATGAGTTTGATATCTATATTCTGATATCAGAGTCTATAGGGTTTTGGATTCTCTATCGAAGTGTCTATGTCTAGGTTAGAAGCCAACAGGAAGCACTTTCTGGCGTTTCATTTAAAGTACAAAATGGGGTTTTTTAAAAATAAACTCCTTTTAAACGACCGTTTTATGATATATTTTTTGAACAAATTATTTGAAAATATTGTAAAAGTGCCTCTTAAGTTATCGACCGAACTTATTTTTCTACGCACATGTGCCATGTTCGATTTTGCAATTTACCCTTCCTAATTATTTTTTATGTGGCGTTGCAATACTTTTTCCCTAATTAGTTATGTCTAGACATGTCGTAACACGTTTTGTTTCTCGAAAGTAAAGTACAAGTCGTGGCGTTTCAATTGTTATTCTCATCCTACTTTTAAATCAAAAGTTCGCATCGCTTACTTCTACGGCATAAAATAATTTTGCCAGCGGCACATAATTTGTTTTTCCTTTCTTGATTTTTAACAAAGTTTTCGTTTCATAGTTGTATTAAATTGAAATCCACCTCCTATCCAATTTTTACAGTCAATTTAAAATTAAATACTTAGGTACCTAGGTGTTTAAAAGACTGTGTCTTAAACATGTTAGATTATTCGCCGAGTAATACACTATTTTCTGTAAAATATAAACAATAAGAAAAACATTAATGGATAAATAGGTTCTAAATAAGTTGAGATTTTCTTCTAAGTATTTATTTTAAATTCTTTATGTTCCATATTATACTATAAAATTGAGTCATCAAATAAGTTAAAAGTGGACAGCAATAATGATGACTGAGGTAAATAAAGGGTGCGCATGCACTAACGCAAAAAAAACTACGTAAAATAAATGTTTCTTCTTTTTAGTTTTAACTATACTAGACAATTGACTAAATGCCGCTTCATTTGATTTTCCTTTCCACTGTCAATATTATGGCCAAACATATCATCAAACGTTAACGTTTATTTAAATTATACGATCTCGTTATGCAAGTTATTTCATGAAATACCCCTTTCATATATTGGTTAAACACAGTCATCATGAAACAACGATCAATTTTAAGATCTGTGATTTCAACTAATCAGCCTTTTTGGACTCCTAGCGACATCTAGAACTGATTTTGAACAACTTAAAAAAACAGTCACTACAGTGCGGGTTTGGAAATAGACGATATTTTAAAATAATGTTTAAGTATGTATTATGTTTTTATGTGGTATTTTTTAGGTATCTATTTACAAAGTAGTAATTTTAATTTTAAATAGTCAAAAGCAGCGCCATCTAGTATTGAGATCGGAACATAGTGCCCGCTACAGGGCCACATAGATTCTTCCCACGCAGCCAGCTTGCTAGCGAGAAACGATTCCTTGTTGGTGGCACAGGTGGTAAGAAATTGTTGCCGTCAGACTGCTCGTAAAGCAAGCTCATGTAACGATGTGGGCCGGTTCCGCGAGGTGGCGCTGGCGGCTTAAAACCTGCATCAAAATATATAAAAATATAAACATAAATTATGAAACAACAAATAACTGTGCTAGTTTATTAAAAAGTAAGTATCTAGGAGTATGCTTGAATACTGTCATGTAAAAGATGCATCGCAATAAGCAGGGCCGGGCGGCAGATCGTTGCGGGGCTCTTATTACCAAACATCGCCAAAAGGATAGTCATGTTTTCCAAGTGTAATTGCGCCAGATGAAGGGTCTACCGACACTGAGCATTCCGGTGTCTATTTGAATACTTTCATGTAAAAGATGCATCATTATAAACAGGGCCGGGAGGCAGATCTTTACCCGACGTCGCCAAAAGGATAGTCATTTTCTACATGTGTAATTACACCTGGTGAAGCGTCTACCTACACTGAGCTTTCCGATGCGAGGTACCACGTATGTATACCTATTGCCACTTCAGCTTGGCGATTCCTTGAGCTCTCTTTTATTCTAGGTCCTCATTGTCGACCACATAGACGAATAACGAGCATAGCTCTGTCCATCGCTCGCTGTGCGACTCTGAGCGTTCTCATGCGGCCCATTCATTGCCAACGACCACGTCTCAGCTTCGTATGTTATCACTAGCAACACGCATTGTTCGAAGACGCTGCTCTTCAAACACTGATGTATTTCGGACGAGGGGACACCGCGAAGTTTTCCGAACTCGCTAACTCGCCGTTTCCTAGCAGAGTTGGATTCGGCAGTATACCTTCTTCTCGAAATTTGACTTATCCAACTGGACTACCTACCTATATTTATCCCAGTTATATACATTTGCAACAATTTCAAGTGCAGATTTCGCAACGATTAACTCGTGGAACGGAACATCAGCGTTAGAAATTTCCATCTCACTCGTGTTCTTTTAAGGCCCACCTTTTGAGAGGCTCTGCTGAGATCATTGAGCATTGTATTGATCCTCCAAAGAGTCTGCCATGTAACGACTATATCATTGGCAAATCATAGGTCAGTTATGTACTCGCCGTGGACGTAGATGAGATGGAAAGTTTAAGTTTCATTTACTTACATATTCCACAAAATGCTAAAGTGCCTCAGTCTATTTGTTACGTTTTCATCCTTAACGGCTAAGCTTCTGAACTGATTTAATGAATTGTGTTATAGAGATAGATCGGACTTTGAACAAGGACAACAACAAAATAAAGTAATCCCTTCCTTTAAAAGATGGTTTAAAATATTTACCTCTATAATCAATGCCTACAGTCTTGCTACTGTCCTTGGATTTCAACGCTAGTCCCTGAAAATAAAACAGTACCCAATTATAATGTCTAAAGTGGTAATTAAAAGTTATTTTTAAGGTTACCTCACAAAAGTTTTTTAAGATAGCCGACTCGATTCCTAACTTCTTTTTTATACAGTATCCTTAGCACAAAATGAACCAATATCAAATTCGAATAGTTTGCGAGTGCGAAATGTCATTGTTAAAGGACAATGGGCAAAACACACCCAGCTCCGCCAACAATGTAATTAGTATGAATCGATAGATCTACGAAAAGCTAGCCTTTTTTATTATGACACCGAAAAAAAATATCCCGGTAGTCAAAAGATATGACACCCTAAATAAATATCCTGGTAGTCAAAAGATATGACACATGGGCATATTTAAGTAGCTAATTATATTCATTTTATAGTACCTTCATTTTATATTATTAGTAACCATAATAATAAGCCATATCGTACTATACAACCAGATATACGACAAAGCCTGCCGACCATCCTGCGCTTGAACTTACTGAGACACCTCAAAACGATTTACGGGGGTTGAAGGACTTGCAGTTGCAAATAGTCGATAAGTGTTACTTCGTTGTGATTGTGCGCTCCCTGTCACTTGATTGATTTTTATGTAACACGCTTTGGACATTGGAACACGATTATCGGTTTTGTCAATTAGTATGGATGAACTGAATCATGTTTTCTCCGAAGCGTGGACAACCCCAACCCATGCGGGGATTTTTCGATTTACTCTAGCGCGGCAGAATAACATAAGGGGGCACCCTTGCACCTTGTGAAGTACACCCATAATACCAGAGCCCCCTATGTAGAGTCGAACTATGTAACTAAATTAATTCCTTTTATTTCATTATGTTCCTTCGTTATAGTTACTTGTACCTATTTAACTTAAAATAACTAAAGATCCCCGGGATGGAATTTCATGCGCTTTGGCACAGATGTACATGACTATATTACCTTTCAAATAAATGTAGTTTAAGCCATGGCGGACGTGGGTGCAACGTCCATACATTTTTGCCCATTGTCCTTTTGTATGGAACTTTGAACAGCAGCGCTATAACGGACGCAACGAGAACTAAAAATCAGTACATAGTGCGATTCAAATAAGAATAGGAAAGCCAATGACCTCCATCTGTCAAAAGTCGCTTGAAAAGTACAGTTTGCAAAAAAATCTTGGAACCCTTTTTTAGCACTCAGGTAATTCCAGAATAAAAACCAAACATTTGTAAACAAACAATATAAAATTTTGATAATTAATATGGTTGATATTTTTTTTTTCATTTATTGAGTTATGGCTATGACTGGTTGATAACCTAAATCGTCAACCAAATGTCACTTTAAGTTACGTTCATGAACTCGATTTAAAACTTTCGTTTACATAAAGGATGCATGTTCCTATGTGACCTAGTAATAGTGCATGATTATTCATAACTACTCCGGCGGTAAAGCAGAGATGAGCGGAATTGAAGAGCTAAATTGTGAATAATGTTTTGCTCACGCAGTCTTAATAAATAAATATCATTAAAACTCGATTGTTTTTTTTTCGCAAACTTAGTAAATAAATTTTATTAAAAAGATCTGATGTTTTTTCTCACTTAATTTTAGTAAATAAGTTTTAAAAATCTTTTTTTTTTGCTCACTCTACCAATTTGGTTTGAATCTACAGCTATGACGTCACAATATGACGCCCAGTCGGTCCTATTCTTAGTTGAATCGCATTACATATTCGATAATGGATCATACTGAGGGTACAGATAAAAAGAGGTTTTTCTCCTGTTCTGTTTGTTTACCTACTTACCTGAGTGGCATCGCATCGTACTGTGGTATAATATATTTCTTCTTCTTTATACTTTTTTGTTAAAATAAGTGCGGTTTTTATATCGGAAGTATCGACATAGAGTCCCTAAAGATTTATGTATGTAAGTCAAAAGTAAATACTCACTGGTATGTTTGATTTCAGCATGTGAAGATAAAACTCGCCGTCTACTTGTGGTGGTGCATCGGGGTCTACCATTATAAGGGTATAGAACTTTTTCTAAAATAAAAAACGAAAATACAATTAAGTAACGTTGCGTGTGTTTGTTAAGTTTCCAAGTTAAGTAAATTACAAACCGAATCAGCCAAAGGATATTGAAAAAGAGGTTCTTCAATGAAGACTTGCTTAGGTAACAGGACATCGCAGTTATGGTCGTTTACCATTGTACCTCCGACACTAGTCAAGTTAAGTCCAGTCAACCGATCACATCCCTCCAGGATAGTTTTTACATCAGTTACGTAACATTGCAATAATACACCATAAATGAAATCAACAAAAGTTAAAAATAGAAATACTGCCAAAATGGCCATATTAGAACAATAACTGAATCTTGAATCAATCAATAAATTCCGTACAGAGTTTGGTTTCCATTAGGCATACTATTGTGCATTTTTGTTCATAAAACTGTTACATTATTGGTTTGTTGTTATGTAAACTTTATGGCTGAGCAATAACTATTGCCCTTTAACAATGGTAAGTATTCGTTTTATTCTGTACAACAGTAAGTATGTGCGTCGTGCTCATGCTGCCTTTAAACAATACTAGACAAAATTCCACTCGCTCCAGGCATTACACAGGATTCTAATCTGCATCTTCCGCTATCCGGGTGTTGTTTTCTCGTATTTTTTTTTCTTAATAAAATTGAAAATCTGGCAGTTCAATGCTTAAAAGAAAAATATAATTAATTACAAAACTGCTTTTATGATCTTTATTTGTTTATTTACATATTTATGACCACACATAGCTCGTAGGTATACAATTTCACATAAGTACAGCAGAAAACATTAGCCTTTACATTTTTTCGTATACCTTCCATGGATATGTAGGTTGAGTCCCGATACGATTATCTTTTTACCCGACTGCGTTGTTTTAAAATTTAAACATATTTACACATTTCAAGATAAAAAGGAGAATCGCGATGGAAAAAGATACCATGTCCCGACAAATCTACATCTGTAGGTCTATTCGCTAACTGCTGTAACAGGTAGAATTGATAATCACCAAGCTATTTTGTGATTCACTACTACTTTATTGTAACGCTACTAAGATATTTGTTCTGAAATGCATCGATGGATGTGCAATTTTCTCTTTAGTGACACACTGTTAATGTCAAAAAAGTTAGCAAAGGGTGGAAGAAAAGAACAACTGAGCAGCTTGAACCAATATCATATTGGTACAAGCTTTAGTTTTCCCTATCTTCCCGTATGTAGTAGAAATGTAGGTAAAATCCTGGCCCTTGAAAGGAAAAGAATTGATGCATTCAAGATGTGGTGTCGGAGACGATAGCCGAGAATATCTTGGACGGCTAAACGCACCTATGCAAAGATTCTTACCCAGCTTCGAATAAAAACTTTCTAGAGTCCTCCTTATGCCGCCATCAGCGTATTCTTTCGCATTTCAGTAACAAATTGCGAAAAGAGGCGACGGAAATTTGAAAAAACTTATTGTTTTTTGGAAGCCGAAAGGCAAAAGATCGCGCGGTCGTTCTTCAACAAGCTGGACTCATAAAATTAAAGTCTCGTTCTTGTTCAAATTCTACTACACAGACAGGTTGGACAGTAACCAATGAAAGCAGATCATTCGTTCCAGATGCAATCCTAATGCTGACCCTTTGATGACCACGATCCTCAGACATGCCGGACCGACCCCAGATAGTTTCAGAATTAGTGTACCTAGTATGCATGTTGCATGTTTCTTTATTCCCCCATAACTTCATAACGCCCGAACAGAAAAACCGAACTTAAAACCTATAATCCTCACATCACCACCGACTCAATGTTTTTAAATATCGGATGTATCGTTATTTTCAAAAGCGATTCTTTTTTACTTTATCATTGTAATTTTTCATTTTATTTTCAATATCATAGATATGAAATCAAAAGGCTTCGTTGAGGACATTACTAAAAACGAAATAATAAAAAATCTAATTAAAAACCACATAGAAAAGATTATAAATTTTTTATTAGTAAGATGCCGCTACTACAAGGCACTGTTACGTTACTACGGAACCCTACACTGCGCGTGGCACGACACGAACTTGTCCGGTTTTTAACTTTTCAGTGAGTTTTTTCAGGGATTCCGTGTTTTTATTTTCATAAATGAATTGTTTGATCTTGGTTTGTCATTATTGTTATCAAGCAAATTTAGGAAAAGAACATGGTTCTTATTAAAAAGCTTTATTATTTATCTATGCCCGTGCTAGGGTCAATCATAGAGAAAGTAAACACTTCGTTTTAGGTCAATCAAACGTCAAAAACACTAAATAATTTTAGATTTTTTTGTTGTACTTCATTTAATTGGACCCTTTGATTTACATTAATTTTTTTACATTAAATTTGATTTTAGCACTAAATTAATACTTATCCATATAATTGCCAAAGAAACGGCAAATTAATAACGATGCAATGTCAATGCAGTCCTGAAAATAGGTTGGGAATACCATCTCTAAACAGAGAAAGGATGAACATGGAAATAGTAGAAAGAATCAGGTGTGCCCGTTTATGGTGTCAGAAACATTGGCAAATAATTTGTGATCCAGATTTGCGATGCCAAACCAAATTTAATATCTACAAATTTTTTGTGAGACCAATTCTATCATACGGTTGCGAAGTGTGGAGTTTGGATGACCGCTTATCGAAAAAGTTGTTGCGTTTTGAAGTTGGGGTTCTCTTGGAAATATACAAATCTAAATACCCACATAGGCATCCAAAACGTTTGAGACCTAATATCAGATCAGTTTACAAGCGGTATCGTGACTCTGATATTGTAGATTATGTAAAAAACGAAAGATTGAGTTGGCGGTCTTTATTGGAAATCGAAGAAAAAGCCATGGGTCGATCTTCGAAAGAGAATGGCAAGCACGTTCACTGGTGGGATCAACCTACAACAACGTCAAAATCATGCATGTCCTCGGTTATCCAAAGAAATATCATACGCCCTATATTAAGAAGATTAACAAGAAACAGAGATTGTATAATTCATTTGAACAAGGCACCCGATTGAATAAATTCACAAAAATTATACAAGGGGAACCATAAAAGTAACTTACCTAAGTAATAACCATTATGTAATATTGGCAAATGTTTACGAGCCCAGCAAGTTTATTAAAGAAATAAACAAAATTAAAAAAAAAAATTTTTTCTTATTTACAATTTTACATCATTTTTTATTACAACGATGATCTTGGTTAGCCAGACGTGGACTTCTTCTTAAGCAACTGTTAGAAACCCCTATTATTTCATTACAGTTAGCAGTTTCTGTATTGGACGAATTTCCATTTACATGATGAGCACAAAAAAGTCTTGCATTTGTAAAATAATGTTTAAGGTCATCAGGCGCTTTCGGAACTGCACATAGCATCCGTCTGACGTTTCTTATACGAGACCCAGTGGCTCTTTGCCATTTAATTCCTTGAAGTTTCATGTAACTGACGACATCAATATCAGTATATTTCGCATACAAAGTGTTTTCATTCAAAGTACCAAATATATGACGAAGAGCTTTTATTTCTAATACCTTAAGTTGCGAGGCGTGAACTCCGGACCAGTCATAAATTAACATTGGTCGCATAAATACCTTATAGGCTAATACTTTTTCGGAAATTGACATTTGTGGTGAATTAATAATCTCCCGGATTTTGCGACACCAATGCTTTGATATACCGGTTCGTGGCATAATTGACAAATAATAATTATTAGTAAATTCAAAACTTTTAAAACTTGAATTTATTGAACTGCAGCAAATAATATGTCATTACCATAAATTATGAATACTTGCAACCTTGGACTAAGGATTTCGCTTTATCGAGTAGTTTCCGGGGCTTTTTTATGCCCAGGCTACACGAAGATAGTTTTTCAAGCTAGGGTAGCAAGCTAGTTCTTTACTAAACTATACTGGATTGCTGACCTGGCTTGGAACATGCTAGTTCTGTTTACATGGGGCTAGTTTATTTTAAACTGGTGTTATTGCAGTGACTGAGTTGACCACACGCCCCTCTGGAGTATTTACAACCATTATTATTAAAAGAATAATATATTGAGTATAGCATTGTCCTAAGTTAACACTATTATTCTTCCCCAAATTCCAGCCATCTTCCTGCATTAAACTAATAGGAATAAGAAACTGGTTGGCTTGGCTCAAAATCGATCTAAGTGCTTAGATTAAAACAAAAAGGGTAGATACGGCACTAGCCTCACAAAAGTGATCCGCATAAATTGTGGCCCAAGACCACAATCGCTTTAGTCACAACTTGACATGCAAACGACGTACATGTGAACGCCAAAAAGAAATATTGCTAATATTTTGTGTTTATATGATAAAAGTGTTTTTTTAAAAAGTGCTCAAATTGCTCAAGAACTAAAAATAAAACCCACGGTACACTTTTCATTCGTAAGTACTATAAAATATATTTTTTCATAAAAATTGCTGTTTGTTTTGAATCTTATTCGGTAGTGACATCGCATACTGGTCGCGTGATTGGTCGGTAATGCAGTGAACGCGGATCTCGCCGTCCCGTTCGCGCTGCGTGTTTAAATTACTGTTTCGTTTGATGCAAGTATGAGCGTACCGTATCTACACTTTTTGTTTTAATCTAAGTCTAAGTGGCGTGCAATTGGAGAGGCCTATATCCAGCAGTGGAATAGGATAGGCTGTTGATGATGATGATGGCTTGGCTCGTACAGTATATTAACTCGTATATGCATTACTCGTATTTATTCGTAACTATAACCCTGAGAGTTTGGATAGTGGTTCCACCAGGTTTCGACGCTCCAAGGTGGATGATGATAATACATAGGTACTAACACCTCCCACCTCCGAAGAATTCTACGACCCGCAGGATACCATGACTAATTTACCTACTTATTTTGTTTTGGTGGTTACTTACTAATTAATATTTTTAATAAACCTTAATCAAAGCCTTAAAGGTAAAGTATGTGGAAACCAAGACAGTTCAGACATACCCCGAAAGAACCACCACTGTGTATAAAATAATATAATGTAATATTAAAAATAAATTTGGTTATTTTATTTTGTTGAATTTTATTAAAAGGACCCAAAAACCAGAATTCATATTACAGCTGTTAGAAAAAAACGCGTGGTTTCTGCTTACTATGCAACTGAAAACTAGCTTCGCCGACCTCATGAAGCTAGTACACAAGCCATGATAGCAAAATTAGTGGTGAGGGGGGGGGCGCTACTAGCCTAAATAATAGAACTCCTAAGTAGTACTCTCAGAAGTACTAGTTTGCTAGCTTACTGCCACTGGCTTGCTACCCTAGCTTGAGAAACTAGCCTTATGTAACCCGGGCATTATGGAACGAAGTATTGTGAAATTGAGCGTCGAATCATTTGATGAATTACTCGCTCTTATTAGAGAACAAATAAAGGGTAGCATGCCGCGGTCGCCTGGCCGCTTAAGTGGTTTTACTTCCATATAAAACCGTGCAAAAACGTGTCCCGCGCGCTTAGAGCAATGCTCTAAGCCCGCGCGACACCGATGCCGCGCGCGTAATCATTCAGATACGAGCCGCGCGCGACGACGCGTTCCAGCGGCGGTAATAGGTTTGTTTTAATAGATCGTTAAAGAAATAATTAATTTAAGACAGATTAGAAACTAGAAATAATTATCTTCACTAGATGGCAATAGTCTTCAGCAAATTTGCTAAAGAAATTAATTACTAAAAAACAATTCAGCTTGTCTCGGGCAACGGCTAGGATCAAATGGGTGCAGAAAAGAGAAATAAGGAAATGAATTTTCATCCAAAGCACGACATTTAAAATACATAACGTGGTAGGTGGAATACCTTTTTACACAAACTCTCCGGGTTCAACTTAATTATTTCTAGTTTCATACACGAAATTTATAAACTTGACCAATATGCTAAAGTCACAGACATATAATACTATAGCAGACGGAACATAAAAATCTAGTTATATTTATGAATCAAAACATGATCTTTTATCCTTTTTACACTCAGCTACACTCGATAGTGGCATCTCATTCTTCCATCTATTGCCACAATGACTCACACATCAACAAATGTCAACGCGTGTCATTTTTATTCCTCGACGCCATTTTATTCATGACTTATCGGACATGCGACTTTTCGGTGTTTATTAAGAATATTGCTTTGATGAACTTTATTACAAAGCGAGATTATTCAATTACTATGGTCAAGTACAGTGCGTATCGATGTGAAAGTGCTACCTACAATAGAACACCAGGATTAACGTTTAATCAGTAAGTTTTTATGTCTTTGTTGTGTACTGAAATGTCTTTGAGTCTTTTCGAAGCTTATTTAAATATTATCGTAACATGTAACATTTTTTACGTAGGATTATTTATCTAAGACACTACCGGTGAAAACTAATATCCTAAAAGTAAAGAAATAGAAGTAATCAGGATAAATCATGATAGGAAATTCCAATTCTGACAACTGAAGTACTGTTGCCATAACAGAGGACGGACACGGTATCAAAGACAAAAAGTTTCTCGGCATTAATTTTGTTTGCATTGCATTGTATTTTGAATGTGAATGCAATCAAGAACGTAAATAGATAGGTTCCTATTACAGACTAGCTATTCATATTTCTTAGAACATTGGCATCGGTAGGTATATAACCCAAATAACCACATAAACAATTTTGTTCTAGGTTTCCAAAGGATGAAAGTACTCGGAATGCATGGTTAAAATATATGAAACGTCAGGATTGGCAACCAAATACTTAGTGTTTTAAGTGTTTTTTGTTTTAAAATAAACAAAAATAATGATTTTAATAGTTTGATTAAATGTTATTATGTCGATTATTCACTATTTGACTCGAACAATCCAGATCATGACATAAGCCATGTCCACTTGCTTATTAAAGTTGTTGTAAAATTTTATTTTGATCTTAGATGTAAACATCAATGTAAAGAAACAAATGTATCTCAGAGAAATTAACTAAAAAAACTTGTATTTTTTTCAAAATAAAAAGATAAAAACTGTACCTTAAATTTTTATTTCAATTTTCCTAATTGTACCTATGTCCTTTCACTGTGTTAATTTTATCTCCGTGCTCAATTTCATCATTATCGGTTCAGTGATTTCGCCTGGCTAAATTCGCCATGAAGATATTAAACAGACAGATTTTTACATTTATAATATTATTAGCATGGACATCACATTGGGACCTATCTATTCGGATAGGTATTTCATGAAACAATAATAACATCCATTATTCTACTATACTAAATGCGGCCCATGCTTTGGTGAGTTTCAATGTGTGTGTATTTGCCACGCTGTTTAAAACTGAATATTCCGTCTGCTACTAGTTATATGTCTGTGGCTAAAGTATATAAATTCCTTGGTTTCATTAATAAAACGCAGTCCTATACTCCTGTCTACGCTTCGGCCTCAAGAATACAGAAACTACAGTATTAAGGTGGCGTTTAATCACTAACTATTCTGGAAAAGCCAAGGGTACGCCCGGCACTCCTCGCCTCTAGTCGATGCAGTTTCATACAAAATAATTAACTTAAGAATCGGCTGTATGTGCACAGTACTCTTGGCTTTTCCAGAATAGACAGTGATTAAAAAACGCAGACAGCTGACTGGGCTGACTTGTCAAAAGGGGCGACGACGACAGTGTTATGTGATGGAAAATACAAACAAACTTCATCATTGAAGAAGCGTCACAATATAATTTTATCATGGAATCGCATCCGCTTAATTTGGTAAGATTAAATAAAGAAAGTACTTATTAAACCCCTGTAAATAAGTACCTGTTTTAACTAAGATTTTTTCAGGCTCATCAACAGCATCGACGGGCTGATGCACATCTTATAAACAACAGGTATGATGAAGCTATGCAGTGCCATAACAACGCAGCTGAACTACTTTTAGACGCTATGAAATCTACTACGTCTTCTATCGCCTTAGAGTCTATCACATTACAACATAGTTACCATCTCAAACAAAAGGATTTAATAAAGAGCAAGAAAGAACAATATCTTCGAGTTAAGAAAGCAATGGAGAATTTAAAAATCTTAGGCAAAGATCCTTTACAAAACCTACAAGGACACGAACATTCTAAAGTCCAGGTTGCTATTTATAGAGCAATAAATGAAACTGACTCTCTATTACAAATGCTGTCCAATAAAAATGATGACATCAATGCAAAGGAAATAGCTATCAGAGATGCTGTAGATGGTAAGAAAAAGGAGAAAACTCAGCAAGACGTTGTAGAAGAGCTTCAAACATTGAGCCAAAATCTACATTCATTAGTAGAACAGTTAGTATTTCAAGTGGAAGTATTAAAAGATGAAAATATGACATTGAAAGAGAGAGTAAGCTATTTAGAAAAAGAAAGAACTAAATATCTTAACTTGCCTTCTTCATATGATTTGAATAATAGAAATAACTCATTAAATATTGCTAATGAGGGATTTTCTAAGGACTCTGCTCAAAAATTACCTATTGTACCTGAAAAAATTACTAATCGGCCTAGCCACTTTGATTTGAACGCTTTAAGAAATGACTGAGATACCATACTTGAATTAACTTATTTGTGATAATGTTAGTAAGTGAAAGTCTTTCATTTGATATCAAACATGACCTTTTTTCTACAAGTATTATTATGTACTGCACTTACCAAAAGTATGGTTTTGTACATGCTTACAGTGTGTGCTTATGGAATTCTATGAATCAAATTCTGTAAGTAATAGCCGAAGAATTAGTTCTGCACTTTCGTCATATGATGTGGGGATAACTTAGGTATAATAGTTAAGCAGATAATTAAATAACAGATTAATCTAGTTATCTATTTTGAGCCAGGCCTTTGGAGTTGTAATATATTGTATTATTTCATGTTGTGGTCTTATTTTTAAATTTATATTGAATATCATCATTATCTTTTTTTGTAAACATTTCATTAAGTATTTATTTATTTTCTCCGGCAAATGGTTGTAAAGTTGATAAAAAAGCCTACATTGTATCCTGTTGTCTTATCTAATGCATTGTTTTCTCTCTTCAATGTTGTGTGTAGACTTGTGCAATCTTAATTGCTTCTTTGGATTGTGCTTAAAGGTACAATTCTGTAATGGGCTGCAGGTGACAACCGCAGGCGACACTGCAGCTGACCGTGCATCATATGCATTGTACAGCTGCGGCATGTTGCCGCGCTCGGAATCAATTTCATAGAGATTCATAGAAACTTGTACCTTAAACCACTTCAGCTGGTAACTTGTACTAGGCTTTAATTACCATATTACCTACTGAAATACTACATGTTCTAAACATTGTGCATCGTATTTATTTTTATTACCTATGTTAGAATGTGTCATTCATAAATATTCCTAGTAGACTTTTATTTATAATCTTCAATTTACTTGAAAAGTAATAATAAGTATTATAAAAACTGTTTAAATGAAACATTACCGAATTACCTATTACTTTTTTGCATCTTTTCAGTTTAATAAATCTTTAAAAAATGTGTTTTTAATTTGAATATTTTTTTATATTATGATAATAAAATAAATTACCAAGTACATATATATAATCTCTAGTAATCATATATATAATCTCAGTAATCTAGATAATCTCCTTGAAGCTATCCATTTAATCTATCTGTGGCATAATCATTCAACTAATTGACTTTATCCCTTTCCCCTTCAAAGCTGTGCATAACATAACACTTATATTCACACCATAATAAATTGTACTATGCAGCCCCTCTAACATGACCACCGAAACGGGATATACACTCCCCGACACCTAAATCGAGCCTCCTTGATTTTTTTTTGGTTTGTAGTACTGTAACTTATAAAAGATGTATGTAGGTAGAAGGAAAATGTTTTGATGCAGTTTTGGAGCTGGTATACTCATCATTCATTTAGAGTGCCACTGTTCTAAATTTGAACTACAGTTTATTAAAAAAGTCGAGGTTACGTTGAAACAAGTCCATAAATTTGCTTTTTTCAAGGAAAAAAATCTTTGAATAAAGACATGTTTTACATGAAAAGAAATGTTTATTTAGTAACTTGTAATGCCTTCCAGTGCATTTATGACAGCTCTCGTACGGTTTGGCATATAATTAATCAATGTCGTTATGACATGTTGAGGAATGTCCTCCCATTCTTCCAAAATTACATTTTTGAGCTCCTGTATGGTTTGCGGGGCAGGATGATGAGCTCGAACACGCCTCTTCAGCTCATCCATAGATGCTCTATGGGATTCATATCATTCGCGCTGTCCATCTCATAACACTGATACCAATGTCATTTAAGTACTCCCTGACGATTCCCGCAGTATAGGCCCTTGCATTATCATGCATTAAAACGAAATCTTGGCCAATAAATCCAGCATATGGCATCACGTGGTTCTCTAAACATTGGCGAATGTGTCTATTGTCATCTAGGGGCGGCAGTCGTGGTCCCGTCACTACCTCTAGCTCAGTTTTGCCTTCCATAGAGATTCCTCCCCAGACTGTCCATGATCCTCCACCATAACTCAATTTCTCGTCAATACAGCATTGCGCGAAACGCTCGTTCTGTCTTCGGTACACCTTACTCCTTTCGTCATTACCGTATAGCATTATCTTGGACTCATCTGTGAAGAGAACCTGGCTCCATTGATGTCGAGTCCGATTTAGATGTTCGCGCGCAAACTCTAGACGGGCTATTCGGTGTGCTCGTGTCAATTTGGGTCCATTGGCTGGCTTATGGGGCTTTAAACCACGTTCATTGAGTCGCCTTCTAACGGTCCGAGCACTTACAGCCACTCCGTGAAAGTCCCTGAGCTGTACTTGTATCTGAACAGAGTTAAGGCGCCGATTTCGTAAGCTAGTAGTGACAATGTATTGATCTTGTCTCGCCGTTGTCACTCGGTAACGAGGTCCTCCTGTTCGAGGAACGAAGCCGCCAGTCTCAAGGTATCGGTGGTACACTCTTTGAACAACGGAACGACATGTGAAGTTGTGAACTCACATCTCGCTGACTTAGCCCAGATTGAAGAAGTGCTACAGCTTGCGCGGCTACTTCAGGTGAAGTACTTATCCATAACTTTATAGCCAAAAACGGTTCAAATTATAGAAAAATAACTAAACTAAACTTTGGTTTACAACAATTGCGAAAATTCAAACCAAATCGACATTTGACAATTGCTTCAAAAGCAACTTTCAACAGTCATTATTTTTTTCAAATCGGTGACCAAGCTCGGCTTTTGTTCTTTATTTTAAATTCTAAAATTCAAATTTGGAATAATACATACGGGAAAGACGATGAAATATGCCAGCATTAAAAATGCATAAAAACTTTTTTGTTAGGTATATTGTATATTTTTTGTGTATTGGGCTTTCAGGCCCAGGTATGTAAGGTGGCTCGATTCAAGAGTCCGGGAGTGTATAAAGCGATATATCGGCATTAACTGTCAGACTACAGTGGAGTTTGACAGTTGAGACTCGATAAAAAGCTTTAGCATATCCCGTTTCGGTGGTCATGCTAGAGGGGCTGGGGTACTAAAATGTAAGCATATCCCAAAACTATCTTAACCGCAAAAATAAGATTCATTGATTCCACCAAAACGGTTTCTGAAATTCACTGATTTGACTAACTGCACAGTAAAGTAAGGCGAATAATAAATACTACTCTCTTGTTATAGATATGTATTGCATGTTATTGGTCTTACATAAAAATAAAATCTTACTCTCGTTTTACATGTAAAAATAAACTTCCCAGTAGATAACTAGGAATAACTATTCTTATACCTAGAAGATTTTTTTTACATTATCAAACAACTAATAACATTTTAATATTTTTGGTAACATGGGTTATTTATCATTATTATTACATCAGAATGCTATCTGTACTAATAATGAGATTATGCAAATGTGATTGTGTAAGCTTGTATTACATTAAACTAATAAATACAGAAAAATGTTAAACACAAAATAATGACTATACTTCCCATTTTAATGTTGTTTATTGTGTTGTGAAAACACCGAACAACTAAAATACTGCTTAAAACATAACATTAAAAATTGTGATATGAACAATTTATTACTTATTGAAATGATTCATAAATATACATATTTTACTTCAAATTGAGATACCTAAAATTTTTTTATTGAAGTCTAAAAGCTCATAAGTATTTTTAGGTACTTGCTGATTAACAATTTCATGTTCATTCAATCACTATTACAATATATTTATACAAAAGACATTTTATTTCTTCTCATTGATAAGTTTATAAACGCAACTACGGTACCTATATCATACCAGGGGGCCATTCGCCTAACGGAAATGCTTTGGAAAACGCTAACGCTTACGATTTCATTTTGTTATTTCTAGCCGCCTGAGGTTTTCAAATGCCTCGCGCTCTTTTTGAAGTTATACTTCTTTAGGCGCGTTATGAAAAAATGATGAGAGTGAAATTTTTAGATGCGCGCGCATCACTGTAACCCAAAAGTAACAGCATGAAGTTGGCCGCGGGCGCGTTATGAAAAAATCATGTGAGTGAAATTTCGAGATGCGCGCGCATCACTGTAACACAATAGTAACACCATGAAGTTGGCCGCGGGCGCGTTATGAATGTTAGTGTCATAATTAGACATCTGTTCGAAAGGTACTTTCAACGATCCACGGAGCTCCATAAGATGATCGCGTTGTCAAAAACAATGTTGGCACGCTCGTCGCCTCTGATCACTGTTTTCATATTTATAATATTTATCCACATGTTTCTAGTTTCTATATAGACACAACGTGTTTTAGTTACTTACAAGTGCTAATTACATATGGACTAATAACTTAAATTCAGTAGTGATTTTAATTGAATATTTTGAATATTTATTTAATTTTTCAAATTAAAACTGAACTTAATTGACTGTGTTAACTATCCTTTTCCAGTCCTTTTATTATTTTATTGTAATTATTAATTATTTGCATGCAATTAAAAAATATTTTTAATGATGCTAAAGAAGTATAACTTCTCACGCGCGTACATAAGTTACACGCATCCATTTTTTTTTCTTTTGCATTGGTAATAATAATATTAAAAAAAATGAGCGTGAGGTATTTGAAAATCTTCGGCGGTCAGATATAACAAAATAAAATCGAAAGCGTTAGCGTTTTCCAAAGCATTTCCGTTAGGCGAATGGCCCCCAGGAATAAAATGAAAAATATGTCACATTTACGTAATAAAAGACATAGGTACTTACAATATAAAAATAATTAAGCAGTTGAAATCCGGGCAATTAACACCAATTAAATTCTTAGTTACAAATTAAGCGTAGCCTTGGCAGCAGAGCGTCACTAGTTATAATTTGACATTGACAACGTCCTTATTGCAATGTAATAAGAGCTATATTCGTAATGCAACAATTCTATTTATAATATTATGATACACTGTCATTAGACCCTAATGGTGTTACGGTTTCTTAAAGGTCCATTAGAAGTCCGTGGCATGTCTATTAAATGTGCACCAGTAGCTCAGTAAACTTCATAAAATCGAATTAAGTGTTAGTAAGTGTACAGGAATTATGAATAAAAATGGATTTTAATGTAACGGTTGTTCTCTTTCCTTAATATATTTTGTGTAATTTATTAAAAATTCGAAAGTTTGGGAGAAACAAAAAGAAACAATGACGGGGTTAATGTAAATAAAACTAAGCCTCAGACCTGTACCCCAACTAACAACTAGCGAGAAAGTATTCGTATAGTCATCATCAAAGTTTCTATGGAAACTAAGCAGTGCCACTACCGGACGTAAGAACAGAAACTGTGACGATGGTGATACGAATACTTTCTTGCTAGTTGTTCGTGCTTGGGGTACTGGAGTGTTGTTCTTGTTCGTGTTCTTCCCATATTGTGCGACCTTCAGTGATCGCATTGAGAGTAGATGATTCACTGGATCATCATGAGGGGGCAGTTGAGACATTGGATATGACAAGCGGACATTGACACAAGGACACAAGCTAATGGAACCTCAGAAGAACTTAAGATGATAATAACTGCAGAAGCTTAAGAGAAAACTTATTTTTTATACTCCCCGTTATAGAAAAAGGGGCTGCTTCTAGTGATTCATATAAAAGTAACAATATCGATGCATTTAACATATAAATGTTAAATAATGGCTTTACATGACTTAGCATCACGGTCATTAAGAACAATTTATCGTCAAATCGCTAAAATTTTCCTTAGTTAGTTTTTCCTGGAAAGCAGATTATAATTCAATTTCCTATAATAATGACATAGCACCTTAGATCGGCGCTGTATAATGATCGCAACGAATGTTTATTTACAAAAAGACTGTTAACACAAAACCGTGTGGCAGGATAAGCCCTAATAAAATTAACGACAAGACCATGTCAAGATGATTACTGCAAATATAGCTCTTATTACTAGGACATAAGGTACTGCCAAGACCAAATTGTATCAACAGACAAGCCTGTGACTATACCACATTATTTTTCAAATACTGATAGTAATTTAATAAGTATGAAATTCTACCAAATTAAGATTAACCAATGCAATATACAATTTTTGAAAACAATTTCATTTGTGCAGAATTAAACTTATTATTTTTATTATTAGAGAAACACTATACTATACCATATTGTCAATTTATTTTTTATAGTAAAGCGTATTTAAGCCTAATAACAAAAACGTGTTATTAATTTATCATCACTTAATGACCAAATTTCGAAATAGATAAAGTTATAAATAAGTTGCAGTTCGTATTTGCTATTTGTAAATCCAACAACGTCTGTACTTATTATGCTTTATAAGGAATGAAAAGGACAGACTAGTGTCAAGTTTACAAATACAAACATTTATACGAATTTATTACAATACAGCAATATAGGAATACAGTCACGTGTAAGCTAATGTATAGGACTCTGATGCTATATCACATAGCTATTCGTATTTGCTATTTGTTAATTTTACTATAAACATTTTTATTGCCTATACAGCATGAGAAGGATCTAGTCAAATTTACAAATAACAAATATCGATAGTCACATTATGAAGTGTTAGAATTATATACTTATGCCATATATTCATTCAAGTACAAGTGTGTTCTCATTAAATTAATATAAATTACATGTTTTTACACAAGACTGTATTATAGATTATTTAAATTTTGACATAATAAATCACAAAAAATATTTAGAGACAGACAATATGCACAACAATTAATAGAATTTTTAAAGTATTTCAACATTCCGTTCAATTAATTCATAATTCGCACAAAATAATGTGTCATTTTAATAGCTGCTTCAGGTGTGTTAAGTAGCTTCACACTGAAATAATTATAATATATAGAAACAATGACATTCAATATTTTACTCAACAAATTGTATCTTATTCTAAGTGCCATACATAGGTAAGACATATGCCTCGTAGCACAAACATTTATTATATTTTTTTATAGATTTTAAAGCATTATGAGAAATACGACACGGTTAGGCACTAAAATGGCAAATCACATACTGAAGTGAACAGTACTTAAATGATGGAATCATCTCACAACCACAATTAGAACAAATAATATTCAAATTTATGTTTACTCTCCTAATGATATAATTGTGAGGATAAATATATTTGGCTATTATTATTGTTAAATTCAGATTCTCTATATAATTTATCAGATCCTTATTAATTAATTCTTAATACAACAACATAAGTTAATCATAACCCCGTTCCCACTACCACCTTTGTTTAGGGATGATTCGCATCAGTTCCGTCATATTAATGGAAGTCTTATACTAACAATCATGTATAAATTGAACGTATTAAAAGTGGGGCTGGTCACGACCGCTTACTTCATACACCGACTTCATTGAATTTCACAAGCCTTATGATAACAATAATATTAAATAAACGTGAGAACTACACAGAGATCTTATAAATAGAGAAAAAAATAAGATTCCATTTTCGATTTATTGATGGAAGATTTCATGGAGTGTAAGGCGGAGGGGGCGGGAGAACTGACAGATCATCGAACGGAAAGTATTGCTGAGTACCTAATACTGGTGGTGCATACGAGTTATGTATGGCAGGTACGTAGTCAGCATTGGGAGTGTATGGAGGCAGCGTGGGGACTGCCGGCGTCGGACCAACGCTATGAGCCTCGTAACCGTCCCAGTCCTCCATAAGGTTTCGCCTTTGGACATCCTCATCCCCGGATAATGGTGCACCCCATAAGTTAGCGGCAGATGCCAAGAGAGCTAGAGTTCCTGTAAATAAATTATAACAAAATTGTGGAGGATAAGGACTGTATTTTTAAATATTATTAAAAAAAAAGAAAACAGTGGTGGCAGTGACAAGGTAAAATAATCTTTTAATCATGTCAAAGAGCAAAAATCAACCTAAATAAAAAAAGTATCAAAAACTCATAGACAATAAATACGATTTTAAAGGAATGATATAAAAGGTGTGCTATGCAGCACAAAATTATTAAAATTAGTAGGTAAAATAAGGTTTGATGTAATCTTCTAGTATTACATGTTTAATGATGGTGATAATAAATTGAGGAAAATACATAATGATGGCTGGATCAATCAATTTGGATTGTAAACTGATTATTTTTCCCAGAAATAAAACATTGACAGAATGTACTGTTGATTTGATTGTCTGTCTCATGTCTTGATTTGATTGTCTGAGAAGGTTGATGGCACAAGTGGCTAGCGCCTTTGGTTTGTGATACTCGAAATCAGCAAGTCAGGATGGGCGACCAAAAATTTGTTATCTTGAGCTTGTCCATGCTTCCTTAGGTATGTTAAGCTGTTGGTCCCGGATACATCTGCGGTTGCTAGCACGCACCAATCCACACTGGAGTCCTGTGGTAGGCACAATCTCCCTATTACATCCATAGGGAAGGCCTATACTCCAGCAGTGGGGACATATTAGACTGATCATGATGATAGTGCTTGTACTAGTTGCTTAATTTTAGTGCATAGATACAAAAGGGGAAGGATATCTTGAATTTATTGACAGGACAACAACTTCAATCTGAACCAATGCTGGGCAAACAATTTCCACAAGTGAACATACAAATAAATAAATATTAAGGAGGCTGGTATATAATACTTGTTTCAATGAAGTTGTCTAAATTTAATACCAAATATCAAACACTACTCTACACAACACACAGAAATACACTGCATCTCGGGTTCTCTGGTGAGCCAGATAAAAGCCTGTCACTACCCAGTATGTGTTTGCGTCTTTTGAGGTCATGTCATACTTTGCCACTGATACTAAACATGGTGTCTTTCAGTGTGAATATGTGTGTTTTTACATACACTTTAAGGTATATCTACTATTTGGCAAGCAGCAAGAAACATTATGTGCAAAAGTTGCCGAGGGTCATAAATCTGAGTCCAATCAAATGAACAGTGCAGAGTAAAATCATTTAATGAGTCAACTTACCTGCTCCTGTGATTGTATAAAATCCATATTCATAATCAACTTGAATGGTGTTGTGTTCACCATTATTTTCATTTCCCAACACAACTGTGGTGTAGTAGCATACTCCTACAATAGCTATCACCCAAAAGACACACATTATGCTTGGTATGGCATTTCTACGTAGAGTTTTTATTGCTTTCAACTCTAAGTTTGTGATATTGATTACAATTCCAATGAAGGAACAAAGTAACACCATGAAGCATAATAGGATTAGAATTCTCATAAGGGTAATTATCTCTGGCGTACTGCAAGGAGGTAAACCTGAAATGAACAATAAAGGCATGGTTTGTAATGTTTTATAAATAACAGCAGTAAAACTTGCTTATTACTAAAAATTTTTGCTTAGGGTACAAATGTACCATAAGCATGAACCATTATTGAATTTAAATAGTTGAATTCAATCTCAATACCCATCATATATCAAGAAGTTTATGCTACTGGTAACAAGATTACCAGTACATCCATTGTTATGTTCAAGATTCCATAAAAATTCACACTTGCAAACAAATTCTATATTGGTTCATGCTGAAGGTACTGATTTCCTTTGACTCAATCTCTTTATTTGCTCTTCTCAGATGTTCTTACTCAGAACAGAACAGTATGGTGGGTAAGTTAACAATGATACAACTTTGTGAGTCTGGAGTCAAAACTGCCTATTTTAGATGACAATAACAGATCTGCAACACAGATTTCCTACCTAATAAAGTCTGTTATTGGCTATGTTTCAGAATCTAAGAATTAGGAAACTAGCTTTTAGAGAACTTTATATAGGTTTTATTTATCAATAATGATAAAAACATTATTGCAAGGTGCAGATTCTGCTTAGTAAAAGCAATAATCCTAGTTTTGATTTCTAATACACTAACTGTTACAAAAACACAAAATTGCAAATATATCTACTTACTCATTGTTATAGTTAACTTTATGCATTTTTAATATTATGTTAAAACATAAAGTAATAAGAACTGTGTGAAAACGTATACAACTCAACCACTATTACTGAGGCACTATTTTAACATTAATGTAACAGAATCGACACCACAGTATGTAATTCTATATTAGTGCAACCTTTTGATTTCACTAGAATGTTAGGCATAATTATTACATATAATTTCACTGACTACTGAACACATGGATGGTAGTATCATTGTTTAAAAATATACTATGAAAACTTCCTAGTAAAAAAAGTGTATAAGTGCATAAAATAATTATATACTAGATTACTAGCTTTATCTTTATATATATAATTCTTCTGTGAGTGTGTATGTCACTGAACTTCTCTTAAACGACTGGACCGATTTTGATGAAATTTTTTGTGTGTGTTCAAGGGGATCGGAGAATGGTTTAGATTCACAAAGACGTGTAGACAGGACAACATCTGTCGGGTCCGCTAGTATTATATACTATATTACTAGATTGATAATTAGCATATTTATGCAGACTGTTTACCATTGAAATCAGATTTGTTTATAGTATCAAACAAATTATTTTGACGTATGTTTAGTTGGACATCATCGTCATCTTCATCATCGTCATCAAATGTGAAGAACTGTGCCAATGAAAGACTTTGAGTACAATGCAGCCCTTTGATGCGGAACCAACTTGGTTGCACTAATGCTGCACAGGTCAACATAAAAGTTGTCAAATTGAAAAATGCAGCTATTTTATTGAGTTCTTTATCTTTAAATGGACATGACATCTTGAAACCTGTAACCAACAACATAGTTTGTTACAATTTAATAGATTATTATACATTAGGAACATTATTGATGCAGGAAACCTCAACATTTCTGTAAAATGATTACAACTAAATAGACTTGATTTCATATGCATACACACCTGTGCATTATATAAATACAGAACTTGTAATAATCATTATTTATAAGATACAATCCTATTTGTTTCTAAAGAGAGCTTAAAATTGGACTCAGGATAATTCAGCTAAAAATAGACAAAAACATTCCAGGGTGGTATAATATGCAATTTGAGATATGTTTGTAATGAAATCACTGCAAAAAGAGATAACTGTAAGTAAATGAACACTAAGTTGTATCACAAGTGTTATATTATTAAGTTAATGGGTTCTCGACCTTTACCTTTTATGCATATTTTTTGTGTAGGCATTACTGGACCACAATTTTAACTTTGTGGTATCAATACAGATGTTACACAATTAGTAACTATTTACATGGGTAGTGGGGAATTAGCCCGTCAATATTATTATGATCACCATTCGATGTGTATCAATTTCAAGTCTTCTATAATGTGGTTTAGTACAAAACTAATGACAGTATTATAGGCGGAACGATGAGCTGATTTCAATTGCTCGTTATTACTAATTAACCCTAACGTTACAAAACAAGGTGAATTCTTTAGACAAATGGAAAATTTACGTAGTTGTGGTACGTTTATTTACGAAACCTCACCTCTTATCCAAGTTAAGCAGCCCATTATGTTCCAGTGAGCATTGGAGAGTAAATTGCTGATAGATTATACACAGATACACTTAACAGTTAGAATAAGTTGAAAATGCACTTTTGATGGAATTCGTATAAGGAAAAACTTTGATAAGAACGACTCAATCCGTCTTTTACGCCAGTAGGTAGTACGACAATACGTCTTTCATATTTTTGTTTAAATGACAGCGACAGTCAGTGTTGCCAACTCAGATTTTGGAAGGCGTCCCACACGCAAATTTCATTCGGCGTATTATAACTTTATTTTACGTTTTTTTTTACAAATTCATGCAGCCAGCTGACGCATAATCCCCCCTCCACGATGCAGCTGACGATTTTTTTTCGCTCAGTATGACATCAACTATTTATGGAAAAAGTTTCAGCCAGCGTACTATTACTTTTTTTTTTTTACCTCTTTCGCAGCCTCCTACACCCGCACCCACCGCTACTTGAGCAGCTGACGGTCGGTTCACTTATTAGTCATATAATATCAACTATCGACGTTAATATCAGCCGGCTTACTATGACTTTTGCATTTGCAACGCTACCTCCCGGACTATTCTTTTAGACCGCAAAATTGTATGTTTTTTTTTGACCTAGAAAGCGACAAATCTTTAATTTTAAAATAGATTTTTTATAGACATACTAAAACGCTGCTGGCCATTTTAGTCTATAGATTTATCTATGCTATGACGTCAAAAGGATTGTAAACAAACACTCACAAACACGTAGGAAATAAACTATCTGAGTTTATATTATAAAACCATGATTTCTATAATTACATGAAAATATAATGATTCTATTATACAAGAATATAGACACATCGCATTGTTAAAGACTCCAGAAAAGTTTTGGTTTAAATTGCCTAGAGAAATAAACATACCTAAACATGAACACATATTTAAAACTTGTAAATCCTGTAACTTTATCGACTGAAAGTCATTTCTTTTTGTAAAGATCAATTCGATGTAAGTACTCAATTAATAAGTTTAAAGTTTAAAATTTATTTTTAAAGGTTACTAATGTACCTACTAAGTCAAAGAGTTTTGTCGTTTCTGTTTTCACAAATCCTGCGTCCAGTATTAATTTAGTCAACAAAACCAGTGAACGGAAACTTTTCTACAAGATATAAGAGTATTTTAGTCCGACGAAAGAAACCACAATGACGTTTAGTTGTTTACAAATTTTGTGACGTCACAATCATTCTCAGTGTTTTAAAAGGTTAAAAGAAAACTAGCAAACCAGTGAACCAAATGTTCACCAAAAAAAAATGTATTTAATTAATTGAGAACTTCGGAGATTTTGTGTGGTTTCGTTTGAAATAGAAATCACGTGATTTCTCGAAAACCGGAAGTGCTACGTTACTCACATCCGGTTTGTAGTCTTATCAGACTATTCATAACTTATAACTTAAACATTCTCTATATCTATCTCTTACGGTTTGGCCGCTGAAACAGCACCACGGACGGACGGACGGACTTGTCTAATAGATTAGAGATACGTAGATTCTGGGACTGAAGTTAGTAGGTTTGCAGAAAAGGCCGTAGTAGATCTACGTAAAAAGGCGTAGAATTGGCAACACTGGCGACAGTGTCAAATAGACATGGTAGTTCCGCATCGTTATAGTTCCAGAACTATGTCCGTACCTGGAATGACTTCGTTCCTGTCGGTGGTGTTAAACTAAAAAAGTTCATAGTTCCGAACATGTTTCTTGGAAAATAAAAGGGTGGAATCTTGCGGAATCGAATCTTTTATTATTGACCTTAAAAAAGGAAAAAATATAAACTACTTATTGCTAGGCAACCTTAGATCATCCATAGTCAAAAACTATGGATAGAGGTTTCATAACATACTCCGGGCCAGGAAAAACCGGGAGGTTATATTTGGTCAATTATTCTGGCTGGTGATCTTACTACCCAGCCTGACCTGGTCATTTGTTCTTTATCAGTGACTAGATCACTCATACTGTCAATTTCATCTGGTTCAGATATTTCCAGAGGAAAGAGTCAAACGGTACATACCTTTACCCCAGACGCCGTGCGTATCTTAGCTACCCTTTTGATATCATCAGCCCCTTCATAGAGTTCTTCTATTTTACATAAATTTGCCAATTGATTCACTTCTCATCCGTCTCCAGTAAGGCTACGTCTCCTACACGAGGCTGAAGAGAATCTGAACCACCTTTCGTCAGCTGAATCAACGTACCCAAATACTCACTTCGGAATCGTTGGCGAAAGTCATCACAAAGTTTCTGGCAATACCTAATGAAATTAAACATGTTGGGGTCAACAGTTTTAACTCATTTGGATCAGTTGACATGTATGTTAATGGACGACTATTTATCACAGTCTCACAATGGCAAAGAACTGTCTGCAGCTCCACGAAGGCCAAAGATGCCTTCCTTAGCATTCTTCTCAAAATTTGTTTCATTAAACCTATTAAACTCTCATAGAATCCTCCCCACCAGGGAGAACCGGGAGGTATAAATATCCATTTGATTTTTACTACTGACGAGAAAATCAAAATAATGTTCCAGTCGAGAGATTTCAGTAGATTATCCAGTCCACGAAAATTCGTCCCATTGTTGTATTTATTTCCACACTTCCCTTGCGAGCACTAAACCGTCATAAAGCAAGAATGAAGTCATTCGTTGAGAGCGATTCGATGATATCCAGGTGAATGGCACGATATGTGGCACATGTAAAAAGAACCAACAAACATTTACATTATTACCAGATTTAAGTAACAAGGGACCCGTTTAATCAACACCCGAGACTTCAAAGGGGACGTAACCTTCAACGCGTCCTTTAAGAAGACTAGCTGCAGGAGAAACGTATGAACTGGATTTAAAACACTTGCAAATAATGCAATCTCTAATTAGGTACTCTTAACAAGTTTCCTAATACCGACAATCTAATATCGTTCTCTAAGATTCGATATCAATTTTGACGCACCCGCATGCCGTAGCGTTCTATGCCGTTCCTCCACTAGTCGTTTCACTAGAATCTCGTCTGAGAACAATATAATGGGTGACTTAAAGTCAAACGGCTCATTACTAAATTGTAATTTTGTTTCTAGGCGCAGCACGCCATTGTCATCTTCAGATACCTTAAATAAACTGATACGTTTTTGATAGGAGAATTGTATTATCTTAATCAAACGAATCTCAGCGATTTCTATTTCTTCATACCCTAATTCCAATTTACCTCGATTAGTCTTTTAACGAAATCTCAAAATCCATGTTATCAATCTTTAATTTAATTTAATAGACGATGAAAAATATGACCCTAATCTAGTAAGTAAGTCACTATTTACACAAACATTGTTCATTATTACAGAACTCTTTTTCTTTTCATCAAAGGCTTGATAATCTATATTAAAATTAACTGTCGGCCATTTTTCAGAATTTAACATTAGCCAAGTAGAACCTTTCCACCACGCGCTTTCCATCAAAGTTTTAGGTTTCCCTTTTGACGGTAAGTCAGCTGGATTGACGTTGCCGGCGATGTGAAACCATGCATCAGGCGAAGAGTATTTTCTGATCTCCTTAACTCTGTTTGCAACGACTGTGTTCCACTCTCCTTCGCCTTTTATCCAACTTAGTGTAACACTCGAGTCAGTCCAGTAGTAAATATTATATGTTTTTTTTGCTTTCGCTACGTCAGCCGTTACTCTGATATCTTACTTTCTGAACCCTATAAGTAACCCAGACAGAAGATCAATTAAATTTATACCCTTTTTTAGACCAGAGTTTAGCGACACGCCATTACAGTCTTTATCTGATGCATCAAAACACTGGTCCGATTTTTGTAGTTAAACTGGTCGCTTTTATGACTGGATGATGTGGTAAGAAAAAAACCCTTAACAATATCTTGGTCGGAGATACTTCAATAAAGTTGAGACTTCGCCATTCCTTAAAAATTGTATCGTATTCAGAAGACTTACCTAACGATTTCAGTCACGCACTCGTAGATATAAGTCGATTCCTAGCTGCAACATAGTAACACAATGGACGAGGGATATTCTCTTTCCACGGAAGTCTTACTTCGTACCTATTTTCAGTCAGGTGTGTCAGCAGTCTCGGTCAAAGATAAATGCTTTTCTAATAGAATCAATTTTAACCTTAGGCAATAGACTACAAATATTATCTTGTTCTAATACAGACATTAAGCACAAAATTGCTAAAGTAACTATGTATAGAAATATCATATACATAACATTCATCCTTTGTCGTTTCTTAGTCACCGAACAAACAGTGACTTATTGGCCTCCTTACTTACTGGTTGCAGTTGCAGACACTGGACTAATTCCTTTGTGACATACGACCCCTGTGCACCGGTATCGTTTAAAATTCTGACACATGCTTCCCTGCTTCCATTTACTATCTTGACAACTAAAGTTTGTAAAACGGTGGTAGCCTTAAGCTGACATAACATGTGTCCTGATTTTTGGTCATTTTCGTCATTCTGTTTCTCGCCACCTGTCCCTTTCTCTAAATCTTGACAAATGAGTGTGACGTGTCTTTTCTTGCAAACAAGGCATTTCGGGAAACTTCGACGTCTTTTTGCCATGTGACCAACATTTAAACAAATCATGCAGGCTCTTCTACTCTTTAATAAATCTTTACGTTCTGTGAGAGTCATTTTCGCCACTTTGTAACATTCCAAACTTGAATGAGTATTCTTTTCACACCATATGCACACATTCTTTCCTATATCCTGTTTGACTTTCCCATCGCTCTTTTCAAACCTTCCTTCCGTTACGAAACATGCAGTAGGAGGGTTGGAACTTGTTTCAAAACCGGAACGAGCCAACTGTATCTTTTCTTCTGACTTGACTCTATCTTTCAGGAATAGCATAAGTTTTGTCAGATCATCTCCTTTTATCTCGCTCCTGTAACGGATTCTGTTCTAGGTCCTTAAAATTTATTCGGTCAATGCTGACTCGATCATAGGGTATATTAAAGAAGCATATTTGTCATTTGCAACGCCTAAG